CCGATTTATTTGAAAAAATAAGTTTTTATAAATTACATATCAAGTTTTCAAAATAATTACAAGATTTTCAAGTTTTATTTACCAAAAGCTTCATATTATTTTAAGTTTTCCAAGTTTTTTCTGAAGTTTATCAAGTTCTTTTAGGTGTTCCAATACTAAATTTCAAAAGGTGTAAAGATCATAAGAACATGTATAATATTTTTCTGACAAATAAAATTTAAAAATATTAAATGTGTATTTGAATGACGCACTTTAAGATTTTAAAGCGTATTTCAATAAGATATTGTCTAAAAAAACTATCAAACAAGATTTTTTCATATGTTCAAAGTTATTTTTTTGGAAAAAAAATACTTGGGACCGGGACCGCTCCTAAGGACCAGTTATGGTTAAAGGAGACCGGGTCATGGGTCATTGGTCAGGACCGGGACGGTTCTGACAAAGAAATCAAGGATTGGGACCTTTTTTTTACCACCTCTAGTGTTAAGCATTGTAATTTCTTTCAACTATAAGAAATCGTTGCACGGTAACCTATATTATCCTACATACGTACATCCCTGCCTAAGTGCCATGACACCCAAAATCTGCACCATAGTTGTTGATTCATATGTTGTGGACATACCGTTAGAAAAACACATAGTTTAATTTGTCAACATGTTAACATCATTATAAATTGTAACCTCCAGTTATGACTAATTTATGATGAACCTAGTATATATATATATATATAGAGAGAGAGAGAGAGAGTGAGAGAGAGAGAGAGAGAGAGAGAGAGATAAAATTGATGGTCGGTTGGTTAGGTAAACGTTAAATAATAGTTTTTGAAAGAAGTTGATTTACAACGAAAAGAGTTTTGTTTGCGCTTCTAGTTTGATTTGATTTAGCGAAGGACCAGATACAGATATTTTTGCAAACCATGATTGCCACTTTGTAATTTCGAAATTGTATGAACGAAAAGTGTTATTTTCGACAAACTGCAAGGACCCCAACTTTGTACGTAGTTTACTTCTTTTTCAACAAAAGTTAGGTAGATGAACCATCGGTGAAACATATTGACAACTTCAATAAGTTGTACTTATGCATTATTTACTTGTAATCTTGAATTTTAAGTAATATACATCAATAAACAGTACTTCATATATGAAAAATGATTTTTTTATAATATAGTATAAATAATATTTTTGTTGTTAATTAACCATTAATATTATAAACCCTAACCAGTTTGTAATAACAAATAAATTACATTTTGTTATAGCAAAAATATAATAGAATAATAGTCTATAGAAAAAATGAATATGTAATTCTTATTAATCAAAAGCCCTTTTGTCGTTCATCATCTAAGTAGATATTGAGGTTCCATTATCAATCACCTTTGTTTCTCTGTAGAGAAAGTATAAGCCTACGTCAATGGTTCAAAAAGATTCATTTGATATCATTTCAATGACGTTGCGTTGGTGCTAAGCACAAAATAATGTGAAGATAAAAAAACTCCGAACATGAGGTTTAGTGTTATTTATGTGGTCTCACGAATCTCATAAAAACAACCTGATCTCTCATGATCCCAAATATTTCTCCGTATCTATCTAATATATATATATATATATATATATATATATATATATATAAAATAGACTTACTCTCATCTTTATATAATGTACTTGAAATGAATTAATAAGACATAAAAAAACCATAAAACTCTTATCGAGTTAGTGCTTACTCGTAGAGCGAGGATATCGGGTAAGATTTCCGGTCATCAAAATAGATCGTTGGTAATCGTAGTTTATACGGTAAAAGTCCTCTTCCTTACATACGAGATAAGGTTCTATGCCATTGTTATGTTCATTCGAAAAGTAAGTAACACCTGATAAATGTTTGGCAATGGACGGCCTATCGGTGAAAAGTATGCAAGCATGCTTGCACATGACTAATTCCATGAATCTTTTTTGTTTCACATCGGTTTGTATGTGGGCCGATTTGACTCACGTGATTTTCCCATATATGCAAAAGGGTTACCAATGAGGTTCAAATGCGGTGACTCCGAGTTACCCGTAAAACGGGTGTACGTCTTGGAATTAGTCGGCTTGCATAGCAGATTGAATATCCACGTTAATAAAATAAACACTTATCAAAACATTTCATGCATGATGTAGAAAAAACTCAAGAAACCTACGAAAACATATGCCAAAATTAAAACACGAAACAAATAAACATAAAACCCAAGTAAATATAGATCGATAATAAAGCTTGTGAGCAAATACAACCCGATTGAACCACGAGAACACAGATCTCATGGAACATCCATTGAACATTGAAAACTAAAACCTCATACCAAACTCTAAACACTGATACCGGATGACAAGTTGAAGTACGAGTCGCTAAATAAACGTCACAGATTTATTTAAAATATGAAAATGCGATTAATAGTAAACCAAAGATAAAAATTTACTCACAAGTGAAAGGGTTTGCTTCTAAAGTCCAAAACTCTTGAGCATGGTCGGGAAGGACAAATTGGTGGTGCTGTAACCACCATCCAGCACCAGGTTCACCCCACTCACGAACTTAGCCTCATCGCTACCCAAATATAACGCCGCCTCCGCCACATCCTCCACCGTCAGCATCACACCTTTCAAGGTGGCCGATGCACGCAACGATTCCTCCACCACCACCTTCATCTCCATTCCAACGGCATCAACCAGCAGCGGCGTAGCAACAGGGCTAGGTGAGACGCAGTTCACCCGTATCCCATATTGTCCCAATTCCACACACAAATTCTTCATCAACCCCACCACCGTGTGCTTCGACATCGTGTAGGCATGTGACGAATATCCGGCAGTCACCGAAGACACACTTGAAGTGAACAGAATCACCCCTTTTTTTGCCGGAATCATGACCCGAGCCGCGTGTTTGGCTCCCAAAAAGGAACCAAATGTGTTCACTTCAATAACCCGTTTGAGATTATTGAGACCAGAGCCCATTATCGTGTCATCCAAGTCCCCGGAGATACCTGCATTGTTGAACATGATGTCCAGCTTCCCATATTTGGAAACTGTGGTGTCGACGACGTTCTGAACATCGGAATCAATGGTAACATCACAATGAACATACATGACCACATTTCCAGGTTTAGAAAGTAGTTCCTGACAAAGGGAAGCTCCTTGGTCGTCTTGGACGTCCGCAATCACCACTTTGGCGCCATGTTTGGTGAAAAGCCTCACCGTGCTTTCACCGATACCGCTTGCACCACCGGTGACTATGGCGACTTTGCCTTGCAATCTGTAAGAATGTTTCATATATATATATATATATATATATATATGTTAATTAATTAATATATGAACTTACGGTTAAAAAATATCAATTTCAAGAAATAAAAATGGGCATGTGAAGAATTATGGAATCCCAACGTTGAAACTTAACCTTTTGGCAAATGGGGATGGTGAGGAATTATTCATTTGCATGTTGAATGACTACGTGTAATTGATGGGTGATGTTACATGGATGATATATATATATATATATATATATATATATCAATATCATTCAAATGTGGATGAGCACCCAAATGTGGAACATAACTTGAGCATTCACATGTTGAACAATATACCTTATTTTTTTATATTTGTGATCCTAGTAATTAGGATAATCTTGACAATAAATCAAGAGATGTTTTAGTTGAAAATGGGCCTATTAGAGAATTTAATATAGTGTTTCCTTTAAATAGCAAGTCTAGACCCTAGGTTTCACATATATATATATATATATATATATATATAGGGTTGGGTTCACGTGAGACCAGCCTGTTTTCATGAGACCCGTGAGACCACATTTTTACACGTAACCTTCACAGCAAAATCACTATGAAGGTTTAAAAAAAGTCGAACCTTCACAGCAAAAACACTGTGAAGGTTTTAAAAAGTCACATTCACAGCATTTTGCTGTGAAGTTTCAAGTGTAAAATGTTGGTCTCACGGGTCTCACGAAAACAGATTGGTCTCACATGATCCCAAGTCTATATATATATATA